GCGTGTGTCACTGTCGCTGGCGTTGAAGAGCCTGTGCCTGCCGAAGCGGACCATGCTAGGCCCGATAGACTCTGTAGGACGTGCACATACCCCTCCTGGATTCCTCCGTAACTGAACACTTCCAGGAACCAGACACACAAGCTTTTCCATAAGAAGCTGATTTTCTGAAAAAGAATCAAACGCTCTAGTTTCTAAGCTGCCAAAGACAGTCTGGCTAGAGTAACACATTCAAAACAGAACAGTCTCTTTGGGGAAAAACCGAAACTTTTGATAATTACTTTTTGAATGGCTGCCACTTTTCATGTAATTCTTTTTTTAAAAAAGAATGCATTATATGTATAGCTTGTGGTATGAGGTTATTCGTCAACCCATCAGCAGTTAAGGTTAAATGCTGTATTTTATTTCAGTCTTGCTTCCTTATTATAATTTAGAAGCTTAACAAGTAAATAGCCCATTACATCACCAGATCATAAAAGACTGCATACTTCATAGGCTGATCCTGTGTGTACATTGAAGAAAGGCCTCTGGGGCCTTTCTGAATGTCACGACAGGCCATCCTGGGTTAGTCTACCTGCAGGGGTTGTGTGAACCCATTACCAGAGCTTAGAGAATGAGTAAATTAACACATGGTAGTCTGTCAGATCAGGCAAACAAGGTCATTAGGGGAATCATGTCACTTAAAAGAAGGCACTCAGCGTGGATATTAGGAAAATACAAAGATCACATGTTAACTGATTCAGTACAGCATGCCAGAGGTGACGGAACTTAACATGTCTTCAGTCCTGCAACTTGCCTTTATTTTGCTTGTCGTAAATTCAGAGAATTTATGAGCAAGCCATGTCTGGCTTGAACTGCCAAGCAGTAATTGTGGCAGTATGAATGTTTCCAGAATAAGTCAGTGTTTTTTGTAGTTCATGGCTTAAGCATAAAAACTCAGCATCGAGTTGAAATGCCATGAACTCAACACTCCAGCTGTTGAGCTGTTCCTTTTACAAAGTCTGCAAATGTGTCATGGGTCTTGTAGCAAATTACTCTTATTTTTAATTAGTTTGCACTGGCTTTCTGCTTATTCACATAATAAAAATCAAATGCTTTTGTTTTAGCGAACTCTGTGCGTTAACTTACAGTGCTTGAAAAAAGCAACTCAGACATGCATGTGCTTGGAACCTTAGAAGCCCTGTGCTTGAACATTGCTCCCATGTTATGTTTAAAAATAATTTAACCAGTCAACCCCCTTAGTCTGCACCACTGCGAATTCCGCAGGACAAATCTTTCATCCATGGGACTGCATGCTTCTCTCCCTGTTCTCTGGTCCCAGATTGCTCCTCTCCCCCTTACCCGATCTGGATAATGCACGATTTTGCCATTAATTTTAAGCAAAGTTTTAACCTAGACAAATTCCGAATTGACCTGGATTCTTTAGAAGATTCAGTCCACCAACTCAGAATCTTAATCAACCTGGTTGCCACCAGCACACACCACAGTTACGTAATGTGAGGATCGCATCCGTGCTTCAGCTCTTGGGCCCATTTTGTCGGCACCAACCCTCTCAAAAACAACCACCCTTCACTGTGGTTTTTTTTTCCAGTGAACAAAAATTTTAAAAGGATGGTATTAAGAGATTTATGACTAAATCTTATTTCATGGCAATAAACTCTAATTTAGGCTTCTCAGTTTAAAAGTCGTCTTAGGCCCTTGGCAAAGTCCCCAGTGCAGTCGCTCCAGAAAATTCACTATGCAGTGAAGTACAAAGAGCCATTATCTGGGCAACATAAGAGTCAGACGCAAAGGATCAGTGAGTAGGCGCGAGAACCGCTTTCCTCTTTCAAGAGGTATCCAGCGAGGCCAAATAATCCCAGGTACGCGGGGAGGCAATCGGTCTCATTTCAACTCACTCGGCTAGTTGGTGAGCGCTTTTTGCAGTTTTGAGTGCTGTAGCTTTGTGGTGTCCTTCAAGTACACTTTTAATCTCTCAGGAGAAGTTCTTGGAGAGGCTGACGTGACACATGGGCCAATGAGCATGGCTGAACTGGATCGGCCTGTTTCTCCCTCAGCATATGGAGATAGTGGGCTGGTGCCTCATTTTGACCAACTGTCCCAGGTAATGCATTCTGGCATCTTTTGCAGGTGTGTATGTAATAGCATTTTTTTAAAAAAATAAGTTTTATTTGAAATTACAATCCTAAAAAACAAAAAAGAAAAAAAAAGACTAAAAGCAACATCCATCAAAAACGTCGGGCCCGCTGGGTCAGCCCCCACACCCTTCTTTTTCCATTTATGATAACTTAAAAACATATTTAAATCTATGTGAAGTCCAGTTTCTCTAGCCAATAACAAAGAGTCCCAAGTTTGATAGAAGTGTGTATGTAATAGCATTTTAAAAACAAAACCTCAGACTCTGTTTGATGTCATACCTGCACAGCCTGAGGACATGGAAGAAAACGTGATTCTCCTGGAAAGCCTTATAGTGGCTTTCCGTGCATTAGATTTCACCATCCTGCTGTGCTGTTCGCAGGATTAAGTCTGGGGGAGAGCCTCACACTTGCTTGAGGTCCCGTGCAGCCTGTCCTGCTCCCGTTCTGCTGCTGAAGGTGTTGTGAGATTGGGCAGCCAGCCATGGAATCGCAGAAATGTGTCGGAAGCAGGCAGTTCTTCCTTTCTAATTGCTGCCAGCCTGCACGGTGGTTCATTAGCCCTCGTTGGTCAAATGCACTGATCTCAAATGTGGAGAAGATGCCAGCAAAGCTCGCCGGCCACCCCTGCCGCCTTGGAGTGGGCAAGCATCTTGTTTGCATTTGTGTGCTGCCGCTCCGTATTCATTTGCCTGACCGTGTTCGTAGAAATTCACAGAGAGCCGCTAATCCGTTGAAGCCAGCAGAATGCCAACAGCAGGACTGAGGCAGGCCTCTTTACCGTGCAGTGGCTTGAACGGCTCGGTAGAAGCAAGGTCGCTGCCTGCTTCTGCAAGGAAGGCCCTGAGGAACCAAGGCTAAGAGAAGCCGCCTCGGTGCTGTTGGGGCAACTGCTGAGAACGCCCCGCTCTGAGTGGATCTTGCACCCACAAAAATGGGCTCCTCTCACTATCGGAATTAGGAGGAGGGGTCGTGCGCTTGGGCAGGCTGGCGATGGCGTGCCCTTCCTTGGCGCCTCAAGTCCACAGCCTGTGTGTGTTTGTGGTGCTGTTCCGACTTGTGCAGGGTGCGACTGGCTCAAGGGCTCGTTCGAAACGATGGTCTTCAGTTGCCATCAACAGTTGTTCATTCCCCAGGTGAACGCAGAGGCCGATAGAAGGCTTTTTAAAACAAATGCTGGCCTCAAGTGCCTTTTTCTTGAAGGGTGTTTTTCTTGAGGGCTATCAAACTCGATGTCAGACTCTTAACACGGCACTTTAACATCTGTCCCCCAGAAACTGCAGCTGGCGGCCTTGCAAGCAGTACCAGCGAGATCCAGTGTCATCTGCGTGAAACCCAGATCTGAGGGCTCCCTCCAGCCAGGTAACTCTCATGCTTTACACTTCTTAAGCCTGGTAACAGTGGAGTCAGCGGGATCTATGGCATGCGAAGGACCAGTTTAAATGGAGTGGTTGAGTCTATATCCCTGGCGCATTTGCATTTCTTATGCTGCAGTAAATGGCACTACCAAGGGCATTAGATGAACAGCCAACTGCAGGTGCTCAAAGTAAACAGGTGAAAAGACCATGTAGGAAGGGAAGGAGCAGGTAGTACTCAATTTTTCTGCTCTCCCGAAAACCGCGGCTGAGCAATAGGGAAAAAGAGCCTTTGAGCAATAGGAGTTCTGCTCTAGAATGAATAAACTGTCAGTGACCTCATAATAATACTGGGATGTCTTTCCTGTATCTACTTGCATGCTGAAGTTTAATTCAGTCCAGCAGGTTTCTGGAACCAAACGGTTGCAGGAGTGGAAGCCCCGGCCAGGTTGAGGCTGGAGGCTTCATTGCATAGCTGTGTTTACCTGAAACTATATTGCAGGTTTCTAGGTAGAATTTTTTTATTGCCTTTTGAAGATTTCCTCAGGAATGCTCGCATAATGTGAGAAAAGACCTTATGTGGTGGTAGTGGTGAAAGGGAAGGAAGAGTCTTTAATACATGCGTGCGTGTGCATCTCAGTTCTTCCATTAAGTAAACATAGCTGGACTCTCTGAGAGTATTCATATATGATTTGTTCAAGTGAATACTTAAACGCCTAGCTTGTGAATGTGGCAAACAGGTATTTGCACATCTGTCGTGCAGCTGCTCTAGCCTCTTCCCTCGGACGCACAGAAAAGGGAGACTGGGACAGCCTCAGTCAGCGTGGATCTCTGCCCAGCACCACAAGAGGGCAGCAGTGCGTTCCTCTTACCGAGAAGGAATGGCAAATGTGCCTCTTTCCTTTTAGTTATACATGAAGCATTGCTGCTCTTTTTAGTTGAAGCATGAAAGCAAAAGATGATGCAACCGATAAAAATGGACTCTTCTAAGTCTCATCTGTGCCATGAGAGTCGGGAGAAAGCTAGCGGGAGAAAGAGGCAATCATCGGAGAGCGCTTCTTGAGACAAACTCTTCTGAAGCAAGGCAAGCCTGGCCAAGACCAGACGGGGGGAGTTTGGCATAGCAGCCTTCCCAGCACGTGGGTGGCCTTCTGGGGTGCCAGTGGGGTGCAGTGCTTGATGACTGAGGCCCCGACTCTCGTCCCCACTCAGTCCTGAAGCTCACTGGCTGACTCTGGGCCAGTCACTGACTCGTTTTAACCTACCTCACAGGGTTGTTGTGAGGACGAAATGAAGAGGGGGTGATTATGAAGGCCACCTGGATTCCCTGAAAGGGGAAGATGGGCGGGCAAAATATAAATATACTAAAAATCTAAAATGGTGTGTTGTGGGCAGGATTGTGGTGGGAGAGTGCAAGCTTCCAAATCCTCAGTGTCCCATCCCCATATGTAACTGCAGTGCCCATTTCAGGAGCTGTTTACAAATCAAGTTGTACGTTCCATGTGGACATTCGTAATGCGTAATGTCTTCATTATTTGCGCATAACTAAAAAGAGTTCCACAGAAGAAGAAGTAGACAAGAGGCTGCATAGTGTGGGGTCATTCTGCTAGCACACAGCTTTGAGCACTTCCTGTGACCTTGTTTTCCTAGTTCCACAAGTATCAAGTCCAGCCTTTGCTGCAGCTTGTGGAATCCTTTCTGCAGGGTGGCTCTGGAAGGCATTGCAATGTGCCTTGTGCTGGTTCTGCTCCTCACTCGCTGTTGGTTGGGCAACTGTTAGCAGAGCAAAGACAAATTTCATGCTTTTTCTGCTAGGATAACATTGAATATGGCTTTGTTTTTAGGTGAAAGTTGCATAGCCACCCTCTCCAAACAGGTCTTCCTTCGTCTTGCAGTCTGTAGTGTTTATATTATTTCTTTTAAAAAATCTTGAAATTAATGTTTCATCTAAAATACGACCAAAAACTTAGAACTAATATAGAAACATACAATTAAACATACAATTAAAATAATTCTTTCAGGTACTGTCCCCTCCACCACCAGGACCATAGGATACATATTACAGATACAGTAAATCATGTAAACATTCTTTCAGGACATTTGCCCCTTCCAAAGCTGAAGTGATTCCTTTGATGGTTCGAATCCTTCCCCCTTTTTAAAACACATACTCAATAAATGTGCCCCAAGTCACACTTAACGTATTTTTCTTTATATGCCTGTTTCTCACATTAATATCACAGGTTAATTTATCATTAATAGCTATATTCCAAACTTTTCTGTACCAGTTGCACAACTGGTAATCATATTTTACTTTCCTGTTATTATTTCTGTTGTATATTTCTGTACTGTCCAAGAGCTGAAGGGAGGTTTTCAGCGTATTGCATCAAAATAACACATGCGTGATGGGATCAAAATAATATCCTTTTAAAAACCCACCCTATTAATCAGGATTGCCTTTATAGGAGATCAAAGGGTTTTACACCTATTAATCAGAGAGATTTGAATTGACTGAATGGTGCAGCTCAAGATTCCTCACTCTAGAGAAGGTTTATGTAATCAGTGTAATTACCGATGAGCCTGCTGGGAGAACATGAAAAATCCATCCTTCTATAGGCAGTGCATTGAAAGGCATTTAAAAATATTAAAAGCAATTTTAAATCATAGCAGTCAGTGCAGCTGATGATGAGTAAAAGAAAGGGTGTCCTGTGACAAATAGCGGTTCAGTATCAGTTAGGTAATTTAATATTCAGGAGTAAGTGATTGCAATATTATTTTAGTTGAATCATATGGACATGATGCAGACAAATTATCAAGGAAATATGTGGAACATTTACAGTGCCTTTCTGATAAGGTTATTTATAGTATGTTAACAAGCTAAGTCTCCAGGTATTTATGTAAGGAATGATTCCTTATTTGCTTGAAACAAAATAGTAATATTTAGCTGAAGGGCCTGCTAGTGCAGCACCAATAGCATTAGGTTCTGTAATAGCATTAGGTTCTACCTAAATATTTCAAATGTATGTAGCTACTTCATATAGAAATGTATACAAGTGCATACACCCTTTTAGGAAACATGAATGAATTTAAATCCAGTATCTTATTTTTCTGCACAAATTTAGAATGCAGATGAAGCTTTCCAGAACCCGAATAACATTTGATGGTCAACAGAGCTTTTAAATCACGTTGTTGAGATGAGGATGTTTGGAGAGTAGGGCCGAGACACGTATCTCAGAAGTTTCTGCTTTGTAGACCAGAGGATACGTTTGGATGAGCATTGCCTTTTCATGCAGTTACTCTTGAGTGTTCATGCAGCGTGGGCTCTCCCTGGTACTAAAGGGTACTGAACCACAGGAAGGGATTCAGCCCTCAGTTCTCAAGCTAACACATGTCTTAGGGAAGAAAAAACTTGGCCATGGAGCCATTGGAATTCTAGGCCCACGTTGCGTACCTGGGCCCCATGAGCCCCACAAAGCCAGGGAAGAAGCATAAAAACTCCAAATGGGATTGAACACTAGTAATCTGGATCTACCTTGTGAGTTGGCTCATGTGTGTACGTGTGTAAGGCAAAGTGAAAATGTTTATCATCAGCCCTTTTCCAGCAAGTCTGGTAAGCGTGTGGCTCTGAGGAGAAAATGTGTGGCCCAAAGCATTATATGTAAATGCTTCCATGGAGTCGTGTTCTGCGCTGAAAGTAACATCTTCTTTCCATAGATTTGAGAACTATTATGTGTCAGAGAATTCACTTCCTCTGTTAATAGATTCATTACTTAACTTTGCAAGATATAGTGCTGTCATCTCGTCATTAGCCAGAAATTATTCTAATGAATTACAGGACGACTTCTTCTTCTTCTTCTTTTTTTTTTTTTGCACATTTTTTTATTAAGACTTCAAACTAAAAACTAAAAAAATAATCAGTCATCAAATACATTGGATGTACTGGGTCAGCCCCCTATAACATATCTTTTAAACATTCTATAATCATATTCAAATCGATTTATAAAAATTTAAAGACATCTTTAAATCTAAGCCAAGTCCCGTTTCTCCAGCCACTCGTAAAAAAGGTCCCAAGTTTGATAGAAGTCAGTATCTTCTTTCTCCTTCAATAATAGAGTCATTCTGTCCATTTCTGCACAGTCCAGAATCTTTTTTTAAAATCAGTTCCTCAGTGGGTAGTTCCTCACTCTTCCAATATTGAGCAAGCGCAGTCCTCGCTGCTGTGATTGAATGTAGTATCAAATACATTTCTTGTTTACTAATATTTTCCGGTACAATACCTAACAAGAAAATTTCAGGTTTAAAAGCTAAGGGTTTTTGTAGCATTTCCTCAAGCCATTTATGCATTTTAATCCAATATTTTTTCACATATTCACAAGTCCACCACATATGGTAAAAAGTACCCACATCATGTTTACATTTCCAACATCTGTTTGACATATTTGACAACATTTTAGCTAACTGATTTGGCGACAAGTACCATCTATAAAACATTTTATATAAATTTTCTTTATACGAAGTTGCTAAAGTTACCTTAATATTTCTCTCCCATAACTTTTGCCACTTTTCTAATTCACTATTATATCCAAAATTTTGTGCCCATGTTATCATAGTTTCCTTAACCTGTTTCCCTTCCATTTTCCTGTCAAGTAGGAACTCATAAATTCTTTTAATCATTTTCTCATCTGTTTTTAACATCACTTGATCAAAGGCTGTTAGGTCTTTATAAAACCCCCATATTTTACAATCTTTAGCATATCTTGATTGCATCTGCACCTTATACCACCACGAGATATTGAGGCCCTGTTCTTGTATTTCTTGATCTAGGTTCAGGCCTCCATCCTTATCCAAAATATCATCATATCTTATGATCCCTTCAAAATTCAATACATTTGGATACACAAAATAGGTGAAAGCCATCTTGGTAACTTATTATACAATTTTGACTTTAACTTTTCCCACACTGACATTAATGATCTTCTGATAAAGTGACTTAAAAAAGTCCCATGAGAC